TGAGATAGAGAGGCGGTTAGCCATGTTAGTCTAAGGTTAGGTGGAAGGTACGGCAGGGTTACACCTTAGAAACTGACTGGCTCAGAGAGGCATGAGATTTTATAGGCCACAACCTACTTCATCAGTAGCTATAAATAAACTGACAGAAAGGGTTTTATATAGAAAGAAGAGGGACAGGGGGAATGGGGTACAACTAAGAGGTAAGAAGTGCATTGATTAGATCAACTGAGATGGATGAGTATGTTAACACCTTGAGGGACGCTGGAACTAGTCCAGCCAATGAGATAAGAATCCACAATCCCTGTTGAGACCACAGTTAACAAAATCCAGTCTGTGATGATTTCTTATTCTTTAATTTCATGTTTGTATTAGTTTACAATATTTTTTTTAATTAAAGACAGCTACTCTGTGGTCAGTATTAGAATGTTTAGGGAAGTTAAAGTGTTCTGCCATGGGCTTTTGTGCGTTTCTGGAGTTGATGTCAAATCTGTGTCCATTCATTCTTCTACACAGGGATCACGCCAACTGGTTAGCATGGGACACTATAAGTAAGTGATGGCCAGGGATCCTGTTTTCTCTATTTAAAATCGCAAATTCTCTGATTAAACCCCCCAAATGCACATTTTTCTGCAATTAAAATAAAACGCCACTATAAACACACACACACACACACACACACACGTCGAACACAATGTTTTATTGATATACTTCCAATTTTAAAGCAATTTGGAAGCCTACCAGTGCCTCAATTATTACAATATATAGGTATTTAGAATTTATTTTATTTTGGAGTTTGATTTCGGCTTTTTATCATGGAAAACCAGAGCTTCCCCTGCCCCCTTAGCTCACCAGGACATGGGTCCAGCTGAAGCTGTCGTCCCCCCGCACTGCTTTGTGGCGCTAAACAACCCTGATATGCTGGTGCCCTGCCCCTGCCCATGCCACTGCCTCTCACTCCCAACCCACAACCCCCCAGCCCTGCCTGTATCCCTCACGCTTGACCCACAGCCTTCCAGCACCCCTCACTCCTGACCCACAGTCCCCTGGTCCTGCTAGTGCACCTCACTCCCAACCCCCAGCCCCCCCAGCCCTACCAGTGCTTGTCACTCCCAACCCACAGTCCCCCTGGCTTTGCCAGTGCCCCTCACTCCCACCCCCCTCCCTCCCCACAGTCCTGCTGGTGCCCCTCGTTCCTGACCCACTGCCCCCTCCCCCAAGTATGTGGGGAAAGGAGGCACAGGTGCCATTTGGGTAGGGGAGGGGGACACAGGTGACGTGGCAGGGATGTGCTCCCCCAGATTTCTGTTCCTACAGCTGGTACAGGGCTGCAGCTGGGCTGGGCCAGCTCCAGGCAGGAGCTGCCTCTGTGGCCCAACAGGTGGGACTCAGTGAGGAAGGGAACACCACGCCACCATGGTGAGGCATGGCAGCGGCAGCAGCACAGAGTTGTGTCCCCACTGCTGCCAGGTGAGCAGGGGGCATCTCATCTTGGTGGCCATGGTGGTGTGGTGCTTCCTCTCATGCCAGGGCCTGCCCGCTAGGCCATGGAGGCAGCTCCTGCCCGAAGCTGGTCCAGCCCAGCTGCAGGCCCATGACCCGCTGTGGGTGCAGAAATCTCTGGAGGCACTTGTCTCTTCCCACCCCCTTGGCTCCCCCACTGGGTCACCTTAGCCCCTCTTCCCTACCCCCCCAATGCCTGGCCTGTGGCCCCCCTGCCTCTCCCAGACGTGACCTGTGCCCCTTCCCCCACAGACTTACCTATAGGGCGCTGCTCTCCACCACTGCCTGGCTGTCATGTGCATGTGTGCACATGCACATGAACGTGGTGCCCCTGTCTGAACACTCTCCTCCTGCTCCCCACAGCCCCAAGCTGCCCCTTGAAGGCTGGAACTTTGCCAGCCTGAAAGTGGAAACCCATGGTTTTCCACGTTTTTCTCCACTAAAAGAGAAGCATCTGCGTTTTTCTGCAGTAAACAGAAAACCTGGGTCACTGGTGATGGCATATATGGTATGCTGGTGGAATAAGTGAATGAACCCTGGATGTTATAATTCATGTTTGGTTCAGCAATTATATGGTCTATGCTCAGTTTGAGGTTGGAGGTTGCTCATAAACCAGGATAGGTTTGTCCCCCAAGACTACCTTGAGATGGCCATCATTTTTCAGGAGGGATTACAGATTATTAATGATGTGCCAAAGATGTTCAAAAGCTGGGAGCTAGAAGTGAAGACTTGTTTTCCTCATCACAGGGTTGGTATTGTACCAGGCCAGAACAAGGTCTGAATCTGGTTCTGTCGATGTGAGTGGCTATGGTTTTGGAATTATACTGTAAACATAGGAAACCCTGTTATCTGAAGTTGGCATCTGCTTGGTGGAATCAGAGCAGATAGAGTTGTAATGCAGAGTTTAGCTGTAAAAGATGGATCTAGCAGTATGCTTAAGATGAAAGGTGGTGAATTTGTGGAATATTCAAGAGTCAGTTTGATGGAGGTGTGAAAGTTAAGGCTGTAGTAGAATTTCTCTAAAGATTTCATCCCATGTGTCCAAATTATGAAGATGTTATTGATGCACCTCAGGTATACAATGGAAGTTACAAGGAAGCTGTGGAGGAAGAGGACTGAGACATGTCAAATATACTATGCCCATGACAGTGCTGCTCATCTGTAGGTAAAGAACATTTCCAAATCTGAAATGTGTGTGTAAGTATAAAGCTGGAAAGTTTGATGGAAACAAAAATAACACTATCATTAGGGATAACATTTCTTATGGTTTGAAATACATTCTCATGGGGGATGCTGATGTACAGAGGAATGACATCCGTGGAAGCAAATATGGCATTTCCTGGAAGTTTATCATTAGAGTCTCATTTCTTGAGGACATCTGGGGTGCCCTTTGAATAGCCAGAAACTTTGGCGGCATTTCATAGACATTAGGGCTGGAAGAGACCTCGGAAGATCATCAAGTCCAGCCCCCTGCCCCAGGGGCAGGAAGTCAGTTGGGGTCACAGGATCCCAGCAAGATAAACATCCAATTGACTCTCAAAGGAGTCCAAAGTAGGTGCTTCTACCACCTCTGGTGGCAGTCTGTTCCAGGCCTTGGGGGCTCAGACAGTAAAGAAGTTCTTCCTTATGTCCAGCCTGAAATGGTCTTGGAGGAGTTTGTGATCATTTGACCTTGTCATCCCATGGGGCGCTCTGGTGAACAGGCATTCCCCCAGATCCTGATGTACATCCATTATATACTTATAGCAGTATACAGCAGTAGATAGTCTCTAAAATGTCACCCTAAGGTTCTGTACTTTCCTTCCTGCGTCCAGGCCTGAGCGTTAAACAGGTTCCATCCCTTTAGCCCTGGGGTATCTCTAGCTATTGTTTCCAATTATTTCCTTGTTTTCTGCACAAGGTTCCCTTCTGACTGACCACCTTTTATCACAATCCTGCTATCCTCTCAGTCTGGAAAAAGAAAGCTATTTTCCCTCTCAGAGTTGTCCATGTTTTTAAATTTTCTGGGAAGAAATACAGGAATCAATGTAGGGAGGTTTCTATGTATAGCTATGCTGAATTCTTACATCCAAGCAGAGAAAAAGTAGGATTCATCAACACTCCTTTCCAGAGAGAAGAGTGAATCTCTCTACTTCACAAATGTCAAAAAGAATGGAAACTGGGAAAGAGAGGGTGAACACAAATCATGTCTAATTAAATGAAGATTTCCCACCCCAACTCCAGTTAGAGAGGCCCATATACCCCATGGGTACAAGGGCTTTTGAAGAAAATTGGTGCTTTCATGTTGAGTTTTTTTATTTCCCATTGAAATATGTGAAATCTCAGTGGATGAGTAAGGAATCAGTTGCATTTCCTTGCGGCCCCATGGAGAGAGTTTTCTGTTCTAGTTCATTTGCTTCTTGCTAGGCCCACTAGGAATCCAACTCCATATCTGAATGCACAGCCACGGGACAAATCCGCTGTCAGATGACCTCTCTTAAAAGGATCCCACAGCAAGAACGGAATGAGTGACAGGAGTATAACCTAGAAGGGTGGCTTTACTATCCTCCTCACAGAGTGATCAAGTTAATAAACACCACAGCCCAGGGGCTGGGTGCGGGATACTAATCCAGAACACACCCATCCACAAAGCCCACTCATTCATGCTCTCCACATGTATAGTTCAGCTACAGTAATCATTTTAATGGGCACAAAAATTCCTTTCAGGCACATCCACAACCCATTCTCAAAGGGAGCAATGTATCTTGCATTGTGCCCTATGCCAGTGGATGCTGGCTATCACAGGGCCAATGTCTAACATTTTGTAGCTGTCAGTTCAAGTGCTTTAGCAGACTTCCTCAGCTCTTATAGTAAATGGGAAAAGAATCATCTGTTAAACCTAGGGTCACTGTGGCTCACACAGAACAGCAGAGCAAAGAGCCAACTGGTAAAGGAGATGGGCTATCCAAAGAGGACTGATTTGCAGGGAATGGAGCGGAGGGAAGAAGTGGAGACAAGGAAGTTCATTTAGAGTGCCACAGCTTACAGTTGTTTTAAATTTTATTTAAAAAATGTATTTTTTTCCTGCTCACATAGGTTCAAATCAAGTAAAAAATACAAGCTGGGAATTGAACCCAAACATAGTCCAGAGCAAGCCTCCACCCATGACCTTAATCCTCACTCACAGCTCTTGTTGTTATTCCCATCCCAGGCTACCTAGACCGACAGCTGTCAAATTCCCATCCCAGGCTACCTAGACCGACAGCTGTCAAATTCCCATCCCAGGCTACCTAGACCAGCAGCTGCCTTCTATTCAGCTTTTACCCACAGAAACTGTCAACAAGGATAGACAGCATCTGGGAAGCAGACCAAAACAAAAACCCATTCTAACTCTTAAATCAGACACAGATTTAAAACATTCAGTCAGCACAAGCATGTGTACACATACACGTACACATGTATTCACAAACACACATGCGCACAAGCATGCACAAATACATATTCAGGAGTTGTTTCCTTACTGCAACCATCTTCATCGCTGTGATCCCCACAGTCATTGTCACCATCACATTGCCACTGAGCAGGGATGCATGTACACTCGCCAAATGCGCTGACAGCACAAGTAAAGTGATTGCGTCCACAGGAACATTCAGTGCTGCTTATTACACCTGCAGACACAGAGAAAGAGAGAGAGAAAAAATAATCAGATGTTAGGAAAGAAAGAGGGGCTCCACTGTTTTAAAGTGAGTAAGAGAACCGGATTTAAAATGACATAATAAATAGCCCTCATACACACAATGCACACATAGATGTGCACACAGATGTATGACCCATTAGAAAAAGAAAATCACTCTTCATCCTTCCAATACTGAATCAGGAAGATCCAACACTGTGCACAAACTCCAAAGAGAACAGCACAATAAGAAGCCAAAAAGGAGCCTACAAATCAGCATAGCAGACCAATATGAGGAGTTACATGAATTCAGCTGCAACTGCTGTCTTATCATCAGGGCCTCTATTCACAACATTAATACAATCCTTCCTACCACAGACCCTTATGGACATTGCTATAGCTGGTATGCCAAATGCCCAACTACACAATAAAAGGGGCATCAGAGCATAGTGTACAGATAATCATCAGGACTTTTCCCCATGCATGAGCTCTCTAGCTGCTGAGCTTTTATACCACAGAGCCTAAACAATTTCAAACTCCAATGAGAACAAACCCATTATCTCCCAATGGTCTGTGGTAATTAATCTACAACATTGCCAAGAGACAAATAAAGGATTTTCATCTAAGATGAAACTAAACTGAAGTAATTGTGGCCTGAATCTCTGGGATGATGTGTTACATGAAGAAGTATGAGGCTGTGGCACCATCTCCCATAAGTCAGGGTGGGAACCCTGTCTTCTAGGACAATGGTTCTCAACCTTTTTTTGTACCAGGACCGACCTGTAAACATCGATGGCCAGTCCCAACCCAATGCCCCTAATTCTCCAGCCCCTCTTCCCCTGCCCCCAGTATGTGGGGCAGGATAGGGTGGGTGTGGGAAATGGGGGCCCTAAGCAGCCCCTTGCAGGCCGGAACTCTGCCAACCTGAAAAGGAAAAGCCATGGTTTCCCACGTTTCTCCTTTAAAGGAGAATCCATTTTTAAAGTTTGTTCGCGACCCTTTTGTCTATTCTTGCGACCCACGGATTGAGAAACGCTTTCCTAGGACAAAATGAAAAGCAAAGACCTGCAGATCAGATTGGGGAACTTCCCACACTTGCTGCCAGCTAATGGTGGACAGTAGTTTAGCAGGCCGTTACCACCTTTAATTTCTATGAACTGAGAATGAAAACTCCCTTGACACAGCTGGCAACAGCCTCCATCTCTGAAGCACCCTCAGTTACTGCCTCAGTTCCAGGTTTGAAGCGTACAGAACAGGAATGGTTGGACAGGGCCTCCAAAAACAAACAAACAAACAAACAAACAAGACATCAGCAAAGAAGTCTAATACTAGGGGTGCCTAAATTCAACACATGGGGCTGCCCTTGCTAGAGTCTCAAGAGAATGTTGACATGCCCAATAAGAATCATCACCTTCCATGAAAATAGAGGGGTAGAGGGGACAAAACTGTACTGGCAGCATGGAATGACACTCTACTCGGTAAGATAGTGCTGCCAACTCTTGCGACGGCTGACAGCTTTACTTAAAGCCCTAGCTACTAAGATTATTCAAGGATCTCAGCTTCCAGGATACTTTTCCCCCTCAAAGTTCTATCCCTCAATGTAGAGAGAAGAAGGCCGAGGGAGAAAAAGCAACAATCTTTGTTTTGGTTTTGTAATCTCAAAACATTTGGGGCCAACTACATTGGAAACATAAGGGGAAACAAGGAGTCAGGAGGACGTGAGAATCAGGAAAGAGATTGTAGGGTGGCATGCAAGGCAATGAGGCATACGAGAGAGACAGCACAGGATGAGTAAGAACTGTAAGAGAGGAAGGGAAGGGAATTTCAGGAGGCAAGTGAATGTCGGGGCAGGCATGACAGTAAATTGGAGAAGAGCATGGAGGCAGGACGCAAGGGACAGCTATTTATCCTGGCAAGCTTGGAGGGGGGACAGCACACCATGCTTCAGTGACTGGAAAGAGCAAGCAGTCTCCATCTAAGCAGAGAATAGGGAAGCTTGCATTTATGTGGACGTATTTAAAGTTGATTTTCAAACCTAAGATGACCACACACAAACTGAGGCCAGGCTGAAACCTGAAGGCAGACAAGAAGTGCCATTTATTAATTTTTCAAATCTTGTAATTGTAAGCAACTGTTGTGAGTTTTAGTGGTGGGATGTCTGATGTTTTTGGTCATTTGGAGCTGAAAATATTGAACTCTAGCTGCAGATGTCCTGGCCCCTCCCACACATGCAGCACTCCAAATCAAGTCAGAGGAATGCAAAACAAAGATCAGCAGATTTTAGCAGTGCTGACCTCAATCAGCTACAGAAGGAATGGAAGTTCCTTGCTACCTGAATTCATGTCTACTAATGCTCCACACACCCTTTAAAAGAAAAGCAACTTTGACCAGACCTGAATTGCACATACTTTTTAAAATTAAAACCTTCCAGGCATTCTTTAACAGAATGCATGAACAGAGAACAGGGGA